CTTCACAGCAGAAAAAAACATGTTTACAGCCTGGTGGCAAATAGTTGTTTTGGTCTATATCGCTAATTTTGCCCTTCATGACGACTGTGAGGGGGGTGAATTTTTTTTACAACTCATCCCTTGAAATTATATTAAGCCTTAAAGTTCTGCATAATTAAGGGCGTGGCCACTTGAGTGACAGGTGGATTGCCGCTGCTTTCACTGCTAGTCGTTTTTCTGCTGTGTGTTAGCGTCACCCTCAGCTGTGTTTGTGCTTTTTTCGGGATTATTTCATACAATTTAATACACGCATTATACCTTCACCCATGCACGCCGCTGGATTCCGTCGTTGTCGAGGATGGAGAGAACAACCAGGGCTGTATTTCCAGTTGTTTTCCTCGCATGCACTAATCTGGATGTCTGACAATTTCATTGCTTTTTTGAGTTTAGATTTAAAAACGTCTGTAGATATAAAGACCACACTCATTATGCGGTACTGTTGCTCTCACGGAACAGATATGCTTATTTAACTTTGTAGTGTAAAATAAAAAGTACCGTCAGATGCAGAATAATAGCAGAATAATAATGCATCACAATAATAAAACTAGCAGAATAATAATGCATCACGACGATACACATAGTTGACTGCTTGTATGTTGTGAGAAATGTGTGTGATCTGTGTTATGTACTGTTGAATAGCCTACATGCTCTTAACTAATTGCCCCTTTTGGGATTAATAAAGTTGATAAAAAAAGTAAAGTAAATAGTCTCACTTTTAGTTACGTCTTTTAACTATTATAATATTTCGAAAGGCAAAAAAATGAACTTTAACTATTGGCTGTAATTCTTCAATCAGCTGTCACTTTAGCGCGAGGCCAGTAGCATATAGCATTAGCACCTCTGCTCCACCCACGACCTGCCTCTTTGCCCATTTTATTTTATCCGGTAGTGACGAGAGGTGACGCGCTCCCAAGATGGCGATGGCCGGCCCCGCCCACTTTAGGCTTCAAAAACGCTTTTCAGAAACCTACGGGTGACGTCACGGATACTACGTCCATATTTTTTTTACAGTCTATGGATGCAACACAGCCCAAGTATAAAAAGCATGATAAAATGCGTTTACTCAAATCAAGATGGCCGCCACCATGTATGCTGATCTAGGTGATAGTCAACAGTTTGAGAAAAGCTTAAATGTCCACTGGTTTAGTGCTCAGGTGGCCAGTCTGAGACACAACAGTCTAGTTGTGTGTGTGTGTGTGTGTAATCCATCTCTCCCTTCGCTGGTACATCAAGGTAAATAAAGAGTATTTTAAAAACCCAAGTATGTGTTCATGTGTTTCTAGAAAGGGCTAACCAGGGGAACACCGGGAACAGAGTATTTTAAATATACTCTGTGACAGAAGGTTTTGGAATTCTAACTTGTGATCAAAACCTTCATCTGCATTTAATTTTGTCCACCATTATGGATTCGCCATTGTAAATACACCTACTTGAATGACTACCAAAGACACTCTCTGACATGAGTAGCTCTTGCAGATAAAGGAAATAAATGTGTAAAATTTCAATTGTCTGTATAAACCGTTACCGTGATCTTCAAACTGCTACCGTTAGAGAGAGAATCCTTATTGGTGCAGCCCACCCTTTTTGTCAGCTGTCAGATCATGAAAATGTAAGCAATTAAATCGTAAGTATTCAATATGACCATAATAATGTCACAGAAACATTATTTTCATCAGAAAAGTACTTTGATGTCAGTTGTCTAAAGGATTAATTATAATCACATTTGGGCATGTGCTCAGGGGCACTATGCCAGAGGCTGCAAGGGGCACCATGCAGGGCTGTATAAATATTTTCAAATAGAGGCAGCACAATGGTCAAAGATGCCCCCTCCCCTTCCTCAGTTGCACAGTGATCATCTCCTCCCAACCACCAGTTCCCACGCCTGTGTAATGGTGTGTCCTGGGGCACTGCAAAACCTTAAAGGGACAGTTCACCCAAAAATTATGAGTTTATATTATGGGTTTATAACCCATATGTTGTTCTAAACCTGTATGAGTTTCTTTCTTCTGTTGGAAGAATGGAAAATCTGTATTTGTTTTGGCCATTCATTTACATGAATGAATGAATGAACAAAACGGTTTTCAAAGTGCAAGGTTTTGGGGCAGTTGTGGCCTAATGGTTAGACGGTAACCTGAAGGTCACGGGTTTGATTCTCAAAACCGGAAACAACTGAGGTGCCCTTGAGCAAGGCACCTAACACCCAGGCACTGCAGTGAATGGCTGCCCTCTGTTCCGTGTGTGTGTGTGTTCTCTACTCACGGCTCCTAATATGTGTGCACAAACTTGAATGGGTTAAATGCAGAGAACAAATTCTGAGTATGGGTTGCCGTCACATCACTTCACTTTCACTTTTTGAAAAAGATAGCTTGAAAATGGTTACGTCATGTGCATGCTTATTACGTGTTCAGTCTTTAGGGCGCATAGTGTTTCAATACAAAGTGGCATCGCCAACTACTGGTCTGGCATGGATAATACAACGTTTTTAGTAGTTTTTGCAGATCCATGTGAATGTGGATTGTTTTTTACAACGTTGACGTCTTTACGCAAAAAACGCGAACGAAACACTTTTCTGTTTGTAGTACATTGTTGTTGTGTAAATGTACCCTAAGTAAGCACACAGTATGAAGAGAACACTGTGTATTTCTGTCCAGTTGATTGCTAGAAATTTTAACCCTGCTCTCTATAATAGTGCTAATAATGTCATTGAGAAGGCTGCAAGTATTTTAGAAGCTTTGATCTAAAGTACAACCAGCACCTACCCTGCAGCGTTATGTGTGGAGCTTTGTTGCTTTGTATTTTACTGATGTACTTTTTACTTTTGTATGGTGTCCTTGAGTGCCTTGAAAAGCCCCTATAAATAAAAGGTATTATTATTATTATTATTATTATCATATTGTACAGGTACTTCTCAAAAAATTAGCATATTGTGATAAAGTTCATTATTTTCCATAATGTAATGATACAAATTAAACTTTCATATATTTTAGATTCATTGCACACCAACTGAAATATTTCAGGTCTTTTATTGTTTTAATACTGATGATTTTGGCGTACAGCTCATGAAAACCCAAAATTCCTGTCTCAAAAAATTAGCATATCATGAAAAGGGTCTCTAAACAAGCTATTAACCTAATTATCTGAATCAACTAATTAACTCCAAACACCTGCAAAAGATTCCTGAGGCTTTTAAAAACTCCCAGCCTGTTTCATTACTCAAAACCGCAATCATGGGTAAGACTGCCGACCTGACTGCTGTCCAGAAGGCCATCATTGACACCCTCAAGCAAGAGGGTAAGACAGAAAGAAATTTCTGAACAAATAGGCTGTTCCCAGAGTGCTGTATCAAGGCACCTCAGTGGGAAGTCTGTGGGAAGGAAAAAGTGTGGCAAAAAACGCTGCACAACGAGAAGAGGTGACCGGACCCTGAGGAAGATTGTGGAGAAGGACCGATTCCAGACCTTGGGGGACCTGCGGAAGCAGTGGACTGAGTCTGGAGTAGAAACATCCAGAGCCACTGTGCACAGGCGTGTGCAGGAAATGGGCTACAGTACATTAAATATGCTGTCAGAGAAAATCCCATGAATTCCACATGGTGATTGTAAAGAGGGGAGAACAATGTTGCAGATTTAATTCCTGCTATTTGAAGGATTCATTGAATAAATGTATGATATGGAAATTGTCCGAGATATCCGATCGAATAGTTCAAGGTTGGCGATCAGCCAGGGTTTGGCTTTCCTCTTTATTTTAGGTGCAGGTGGAATGCCAATGGTAGCGCAGGAAATGCAAAAGAATTAGGGCACGAGAGGTTCTGTAAATTTTTTTGTTTTAATTGATTACTTTTTACTCTTTATATTTCTATAATTTGTTTAAAAAACGGTGCCATTGCTTTTATTATGTAGCCTGACTTCGTCATACTCATATTCTAGTCAGAATGTGAGTCTGATACTGCTCCATAGGGCTTTGATTATGAGGCGTGTCTTAACCGAACCAGGAAAAAATAAACTCTGCACTCAATTGGATAGACCTACAACCAATCAGAGCAACGCAGTAAGTCAACTACTTTGCATAGCACAGTTGTCAACTACAGAACTCAAATGCACGCACGCTGGAAGAAGTAAAATAACGAGTGTTGCTTCTTTTACTTGGTCCTCCATAAGTGCGACCAAAGGAGAAACCACAACGACCACAGGGTTTTCATTGCGTCCCATCTTCTTAGAGACCATCGGAGCCAGCTGATAAGTTACACTTTTGCCAAATCCTGTAGGAAGGACGTCAAAAATATCTTTCCGATCGATAAATGCCTTGATTGCAGTTTTCTGTTCGTCTATTAAAATTAATGCGCTGTCGATTTATTTTACAACAGGCGCGACAGCGGAATCTCTACATCTCAGTTCTCCAGCTGCAGTCATCGCGCTCTTTGATAACGTGATGATTACGTCCCTGCAGATCATCTGTCCATCATCGTATAAAGCCAACCCTGGCAATTTGATTGGCCCGAACATTTTTTGACTGATCATAATTACTCCTCAATGGATTGAATCCAGACCGAACTTCCCGACCAAAAAATGTTGTGGGCGGGGTTCGGGCTGGCATCCAGGCTATTTATTATGTGCTGTTGTACACCCAAAAGAACTTTACAATTATATCAGGGGTCTCTCCTCACCCACCAACATTGTGCTGCCAAAGAGCTTTACACTCTGGATTGTAAATCCATCTGGATGATGTGCCGGCAGCCACAGTACAATAGTGCCAGTGCGATCCCCACACCAGCTGAGACAAGTACATTCCCTTTGTACGGGTTCTTTCGTTTAATTTGACCGTGTAAAGAACTGTAGCCATCTGCACCCATGTTGATACACAAGCACAATGCTAATAAACATTACTGATACTATTGTGCCTATAAATGAGGTGGTGCACACTGTACAAACTGTGTTTGTATTTGTTTGTCATGCAGCAAAAGGATTCTGAGTGAAAAATGCCTCCCCCAGGGTGCCACCACAACCCAAATGAAGATGATGTGAATTCTCCTACCAGTCCTTTGAACTTCCTGGATCAGAACTACCAAGAGCTTCTCCAGAACTGTCTCACTGAAAACACACTATACAACGATGAGTTGTTTCCTCCAGACAACAGCTCCATTGGCTTGTTTGATGATGAGCCGCCTGTGGTGGATATGTCCCAAGTTGTGTGGAAGCGGCCATTCGTATGTTAACCATACAGAATTTTTACTCTATATAAATTTTATACCCTCTGCCATAATGGCTTTCACAGCTTTGCTAGAAATTACAACAAATCTCTTAATGTTATGTGTCCGTGTTTGGTATTGAACTGCACTTCATTTTCTCTTATCAGGAATTGGTGTCAGACCCTAATTTAATTGTAGACGGCGTGTCCAGGTTTGATTATGCACAGGGGAGTGTATTAGGTAAGTTTGAGTTATTCACATATGTTGTATCATATAGTATGATATGTCTACTATACAATGTTTCCTGGACCATTGTTGTTCTCCACTCAATATCAACTTAGATCTCATTATAACAATTAAACCGGTATCATCCACAATATGATTGTCACGTGTCAGTGCATGTTTGGATTTTCAGTTTGTCTTTTGATTGGTTCCTGTTTTCCTTTGTTCTTTTCCCGCGCCACTCCTTCGTTTCTATGGTTACTATCATTATGATTTCATTTGTCCCAGCTGTGTATGATTAATTATCTCGTTTCTGTTTGCTTATAAGTGCACCATTTCTGTCAGTCTTTGTCTGATATCTGTTGCATTTATGTGTGTTTTCCATACCTGTCAGCTTGTTCCAGAGTACTATTATTAAAGTTTGAGTTTGTATCTATAATCAGATTCTTCAGTCTGTTCCTGAGAAAACCACAGTGTGACAGAAGATCGGATGATGGATGAATGGGTAATGTTCATCTCTGTGGCTCAGGAAAGCCACAACCTGTTAGAATTTGAGGAAATTCCTCCGGCTCGCCATTACCAGCTCCCTCGTAAATAACACAATGAGGACCCTGTTCCAGATTGAGGCAACTTTCCACCACCCCAATGACCTCACAGACAACACAGGGCTGGACTGGAGGGAATCTTGATTTGGTGTCTGGAGAGCGTTGAGTCCCGGTCTGGAACCAAGCCCATCTTAGAGTCCATTCCAGAGTCTCGCCCCGTCATGGCCGCCGTTCCCGAGTCTCATTCCAAGATGGCCGCCACCACACCAGAGCCCTCTCCCAAAATGGTCGCCGCTTCTAAGCCCTCAGATAAGATGGCCGCCACCGCGCCTGAGTCTCCTGTCCACGTCCTCGTCCAGAGTACAGAGGAAGTAGATTTAAACACTGAAATACCCTGTCTTCCTCCATGTGTTTTATGTCCAGTTCCAAATTCCCACCCAGCCTCCCTCTCCCTCTTCCTCCCATCATCATTTCCTCATCCCCGACTCCGCTGCTTCCTAGCGGCCCCTGATCCCGGTCTCCACCTCCGGCTTTCGCGACCAGGACCCCACCTCGGCCCATTAGCTCCACCTTGGCTCCAACCTCCCTCCTCTCCACTGTGGCCCATCAGTCCAGCAGCTCCGCCGGGCTCTCTCGTCCTTTTGGTTCCACCTTGGTTGTTCGTCGACCTGCCCACGCCCCAGGACTACACTTCTCTGGCTTCGCCTTGTCCCTTTGCTCCTTTGGACTGCTCACTCCCTCCAGCTCTACCATGGTCCTCTCTCGCTCCGGCTCCACCAGGGCCCTCTGTATCCCTGCCTGTGCCTCGGTCCCTGTCTCAAGACAGGGCATCTCCTTCTATACCCTGGTCTCCTCTTCCACCTGCTCCGCCTCCGTCAGTTGACCCCCTGGATCCATCAGCCCTTTCTCCACCATTGCTCCTCCCTCCATTGGCTTCACCATGGGCTGCCTATCTGGCTGCAGCCTGGATCCCACCTTGCTCCTCCTGCTCCAAGTCCTTCCTGTCTCCTTCGCTCCTCCCACCATCTGCTCCGCCCTGGTCTCCCGAGCCGCCGAGTCGACACTGCCCTGGCCCCCTGAACTGCTGCCACCGTCCTGGAGGCTTCACGTTCTGTCGAAGCCACGCCCTCGTTAGCCTCCAGGGCTTGCCTAATAATATACATCATTATATGAAAATCATGTTTGACACAATTGGTACATATTTCTATAAAGCTCATAAAGGGACCTTCGCAAAAAAAAAAAAAAAAAATCTAGACTTTCACATGCTTACAAGAAACTGTTATGTGGGTTATTCTGGTTTATTTACACTATAACCTATATCCTTTGTTTGTCTCTGTCATTTTATTATGAAGTATTCGAGAGTTTGGAAGTGCATGAATTAATAAAGATCTATTTAGATCTATAAGATCTAAAATCTATAATATATCTTGTGAAATATGAAATTTTTGTACATTTTTTTGTACATGGCCGTTAACGTTTTATATGGGACACTATAAATACTGCCCTAATGAAACCCAAATGTTGATAACATTTATGAACCATTAAACTTTGCATATGGGAAAAAATGCAGATATTTTACTATTTTTAATTACTTATTTATTTAGGAAACTGTTGGTTTTTGGCTTCAATTGGGGCTCTGACTTTTGAGAAGGATATCATGAAACAGGTCATGCCAGCTGAACAATCATTCACCAAGGATTATGCTGGGATATTTCACTTCAGGGTGACTACAATACCTGTTCAGTTTTTCTTTTCTTTTCCTTTTTGCACTTTGTTTCTATTATTTTTCACTATTTGTAATATCTTACAGTTCTGGCGATTTGGGAAATGGATTGATGTTGTTATTGATGACCAACTTCCAACTATTGATGACGAACTACTTTTTGTGTCTTCAAAAACGTCTAATGAATTTTGGCCTGCCTTACTGGAGAAAGCATATGCAAAGTGGGTATCATTCTGTTCTTTTCATATCTTGCATGCCATCCTTCATTTATTTGCATTGTTTAAAATGGTTTACATTATTGGTTTACTGTATGAGTGAATTCAAATAAACTGTCTTTACAGGGTGTGTGGGTCCTATGCTGACTTGAATGCTGGTTTCATATCTGAGGCCCTGATGGACTTCACTGGTGGGACGCATATGTATTATGAACTGAATACAGCTCCTGCTGATTTGTGGAAAATCATGGAATGTGCATTCACATCAAAAACGCTTATAGGTTGCGGCTCTATTACAGTGGTAAGAAAGAAATCACCAAATTCTGGATCCAATAATTCATCCAGTACTTCATAACAGTGTTGGGCAGTATCGTGGCTACAAACTACACTTTCCAGTAGCGTGGCTGTTTTCTGAATCAAATAGCTTTTCAGTAGCGAAGCTCTTTTTTGATCAAATAGTGCGGTAGCGTCCACACAAGCTACATTCTCCCAAGCATTTCTAAAGCTCAAGCTCAAATCGGAAATACAACTGCTAAGTATCACTGATGCTGGATCAGTAAGTGACGGTGACTTCTTCATGTTTTACGGCGGTTGGCAACCATAGGGCCATATGATTTCTTTCCTGGAATTTGTCAGATCTTGGAAGAAAAGTAGATCCGTTTGCGGTGAGGTAAATTAAACGCAATATGCGTTGACGTCACAATTGTGTTGCATTGTGGTATATGGAGCTGCCTGAAGTGTACATATAAAGTAGACTCGGTCAAAATCGAGGGAGCGAGGGTCCATATAAACTTCCCTCGTCCACTTCACGAAGTGGAACTCACGTTCAAAATGGCGGCAGGGATTCCCATGAGGGGAAGTGCTTAGGGAAGTTTGCAAGTGTATGTCTAAAAGTGGATTGGAACGCAGCACCGAAGCCGCAAAAGTCTCCTGTCAAGCGGAGGAGTTTTTAAAAGGACCGCCAGCTGATCATCCAGTTACCGCTGGCAGGCGGCAGCACTGCTATCAAATCAGCGATGATCTGAAACTCAAAGAAAACATCAAAAAGCATACACCGATATTATAAATACACAAAGAAAAATACACATAACGTAACAAACGGGGAAAAAACTGAATTTGGCATGTGGAAAAAAAATTAAACGGATTTCAGTGGGCCCTACAACCAGCTTTTTGGTGCATTACTACCACCTTCTGCTCCAGATGGTGACATCACGTACCAGTCTCAATCCTTGGGCTGACATATGAAAAAGTGTACTTAATGGAAACATGCACACACTCTTGACACCTGGTTTTGTTATACTTTTATATAGTTATATGGTTTTATATAGTTATGTTTTTTGCCAGATTGGTTTGGAAGAGTAACTGCTAGCTTAGCTCACTACATTTCCCAAGTAGCTTGCCCCACACTGCTTCATAATTTTGTTAACAAATATTGTTTGCACATATAATATATTTGTTAGGAAAGAGTTTCATAAATTCAATAAAAATTATCATAGAGTTAAAAACATGTTGACATAAAAAAGAGCATAATTGGGTCTGACAAACAGACAAACTTAAAACAAATAAAACAGAGCAGTAAATAAAACCGATCCATAGCCTTGTGTGCAGTGCTCCAACATGTAATGCAACAGGAGACTTGAGTGTGAGTCCTCTCTCCTGTCCTGTTGCTTCCTGTCTTGACTGTCCTGCCAAATAAAGGCAAAAGCAGGCTGCATTTGTGCATTGTCATGACTTGTTACAGATAAATAAAATTGACTAATATGTGCAAAAGTCCAGGTAATACCAGAGGGTTCATATACTTTTCCCTGCAACCGATTAATTAAACTTATTATATAATAATAATAATAAAACAATATTGGTGAATCATTGAGTGTATGTTTATGTCACAAACATTTTTGATTTTAAAACTGCTTATAAAATTGAAGTAACTTCATAGAATTCATATATAACAGTTCTTTCATTAATTATATACTGTACGTGATCAGCTATGTGCTATTACTGTATTTAATGTTTTTGTGTGTGTGTGTGTGTGTGTGTCAATAGACAACACCTGAAGAAAACGAGATACTTTGTGGCATAGTTGCGGGACATGCTTACACTGTGACAGGAGTTTTTGAGGTGAGACTGCACAAGCATCTGGCCATATATATATTCATTTTGCTTTTTAAAGTAAAATGTACAGTGATTGTCGCTGAAAGCATGTTCATTTTTATCTGAATCTGGCTTTTTGTTATGCGGGTTATTGTATGTATTGCAGCAGTCTGGAAATTAAATGTCCAGGTAAGGGGTGCTAAAAGGTTAATACTCTTCTCACGTTTGAAAATAATGTACCTAAACCCTTTCCTACACCAAATGATAACAAATGTAAACATGAGTTAAAAAGTGTTTGGCTGAAGTAATCATGCCATTTTAGCTCACTTTATAATTCTTTGAGCTATGTATGCGTAAACTGTGAAAATAATCAAAGTTTTTGTTGTTTCACTGGCACTAGTGTTTATTTTAGCTATCTTTCTCCTATTTTAATTAATTTAATGCACTTTTACTTTAATAAATCATTTTAAACTAACATTGATTCCTGGCTTTGTGCAACAGGTAACGAGTGATGAAAATCCAGTTCATCTGGTGAGATTGTTAAACCCATGGGGCGAAGAAGAGTGGCAAGGAGACTGGAGTGACGGGTAAGAGCTGTAACAACTGTTACAGTAACAGCTTCAATTAGTTGACAAACTTGGCAGAAAGCTGTACTTTGCTTCTACATGTCATCACTTGGGCATATCAAGTTATTTTGTTTGTATTTGCTTCATGATATCACATTGCACCCATGTTTGGGTATACATTTTACAGATCACCTTTGTGGGACACAGTTTGTGAAGAGGTCCGCAAAATTTGCCATGAAGTCTTAAATAACGGGGAGTTCTGGTGAGCATGACCATGTTGGGTACACCCACCGTAATCACTTTTTGGAAGACGAAAAGGGTTTGATTAGAGTTATTGCCCATTAACTTCTATGGTCCAGGACCCCTGTCAGCTCTCCCTCAATTCAAAAACAGCAAATGACTTCTTCATATAATACATCGCTTTTTGGCTAACTTAGAAATACTTTTTCTATGGCAGGATGTCAATGGAAGACTTCAGCACAATTTTTGAAAGCATAGATATTTGTTGTAGCTGTCCTGATTTTTTGGATGGTTCCTCTGAATGTCACTGGACCTCAAAACGGCATTTTGGCAGATGGAATTCTGGGACTACAGCAGGTGGTGACATAATTAAGACAGGTATTATTATTCTATATGTAAATATGCCATCTTATTAGGTACACCTGTGCAACTGTTTGTTCAACGCAAATATCTAATCTGCCAAACACATGGCAAGAAATCAATGCATTTAGGCATGTAGAAATGGTCAACGATGGTCAACGATCTGCTAAGCCTCAGAATGGGGAAGAAAGGAGATTTAGGTGACTTGAATGTGGCATGGTTGTTGGTGCCAGACAGGCTGGTCTGAGTATTTCACAAACTGATGATCTACTGGGATTTTCACACACAACCATCTCTAGAGTTTATAGAGAATGGTCTGAAAAAGAGAAAATATCCGGGAGATTTGCATCATGGATGTGCAGCCAACAAATCTGCGGCAACTGTGTGATGCTCTCATGTCAATATGGACCAAAATCTCTGAGAAATGTTTCCATAACCTTGTTGAATCTGTGCCTCAAAGATTTAAGGCCGATCTGAAGGCAAAAGGGGTCCAACCTGGTACCAACAAGGTCCACAACCTAGCATATCAATCAATTCCAGCATGGCAAGATTACAGTATATAGATAAGGCTTGTATAAGTAAGACAGATACAAAATACTTAAAATAATGCATAGAGAATGAAATAATGTACAAATCTTCCTTTAATGTGTTATAGAGACCTTCTGGACAAACCCTCAGTTTCGGGTGACAATTGATGAGCTTAATGAGGAATGTGCTAGTGGGCAGCGCCCTGAAAACACACTGGTGTCCCTCATGCAGAACCAAGAGAAGAAAAACAGGAATAGCCAAGAAAATTATGATATTGGCTTCTATGTCTTTGAGGTCAGTATTGGCGGATGGAACTATGCATATTAATGCTTGTAAGTTGTCCATTTAGCAGATACTTTTGTCAGTGACAATGTGAGCAATTTGTCACAGAGCCATCAATACTCATAGTGCACATTATGCACAATTCCTGGTTTATTAGATCAATAGACTAAGAAACAAGCTATCAGAGGTGAAATGCAAAGAAAAAGCTTTCCTTTTTTGTGTGTGCCTTGGTTCAAGATTGTGGAGTGCTTGTGGAAGAAATGTGCCTTCAGCTGCTTTTCAAAAAGTTGTAATGATCTCTGCACTTTCAATGACATGTAGTGTTTTATGCGTTATCTGCAATATCCCTGTCATGATCGCTATTTTACCTTTTTTCCCCTTTTACTTTTACAGATACCATTAGAGGCAAGTGAAAAAATGATACAAATATTATACTCATATTGTCCTTTTATGAAGAGATTCATTCCTTTTTTTAACCAAAGACAGATTTTATTATTCTCTTTTAGATGAGAAGTCAGAGTGGGAGGTTTTCATCTGAGTTCTTCATTGAGAGAGAGCCTGTGGCACAGACTGATGGTTTAGTATGGCTCAGAGAGGTTATGAAATTCTTCAGGCTGGAGCCAGGAGAGTACCTGATTGTACCGTGCACGGAGAATCCTGGTGAAACCGCATCCTTCGTCTTGTCTATTTTCTCAAAGAATGAGACACACTTTGAGTAAGTTATGAAGCAGTAGAAAGAAAAGCCTGAATAAAGTACAGCTCTGTGATGTAAAGTTCTTCTCTTTCCAACAGACATATTCAGGAGACTTCAGAGTAGAATGGAGACATGTCTTGATGAGGGTGAGGTAAACCCTTTGTTGTCTGCTGTCTTTATGCTTATTTTCCTTTCAATTGTTAATTCAAGAAAAAAAGTAGAATTTTATTAGTTTTTATGAATTATTATATTCCAAACAAGAAATTGTTTTACCTTTATTTGTTGACACACTGTTTTTCAATTGTAAAGTAAATGTGTAATCTGTTGGGTGGGTGATGTACAACAGTAGTTGTTGCTAGTTTTATTGTTTTTATTTGTCTGTATTAATGATTGATCAGTTATGTTAGCATACATTATTCGATGCCATCAGGTAAAAGAAGAAAGACTTCATTTATTACAAATTATTGTAATCCTGTCAAAATAAGACTTGAATGGAAAAGCTGTAAAAACAGATGAATGAAAGTGTGGCTTGATATCTGTCACGTGTCAGTGCATGTTTGGACTTTCAGTTTGTGTTTTGATTGGTTCCTGTTTTCCTTTGTTCTTTTCCCGCCACTCCTTCGTTTCTATGGTTACTATCATTATGAGGTTCATTTGTCCCAGCTGTGTATGATTAATTATCTCATTTCTGTTTGCTATTTAAGATGCACCCTTTCGTTCAGTCTTTGTCTGATTGCGGTTGCATTCATCTGTTTTCCCTGCCTGTCAACTTGTTCAAGAGTACTTTTATTAAAGTTTGAGTTTGTATCTATAATTGGATTTTTCAGTCTGTTCCTGAGGAAACCACAGTGTGATAATATCAGCAAGTGCATGTAATAATTCTTATTCGTATTAATGTATACTGCTGCAGAATGGGCTAATATGGAATGTATAAATGCATGAAAAAGCTCCCATATATTTCTTTAATATTGTTCTTCAAAGAGACAGGATATATGCAATAAAAATGAGTAAATTAATTGCCAGCTTCTTTCTGAAAATGGTGATAGAATTTATAATTTAACCCTCTGGGGTCTAAGGTGTTTTTGGGGTCCTTGAGATGTTTTGACACGCCCTGACATTTGTGCTTTTTTTCAGTTGCTTATAAACATATTAATGGCACAGGTGAAATTACACTCTATTTAGCACAAACAGGGCTACCATAATATGTGAGCAACATGTATGTACAAGTTTGTATTTTTGAGAGAATATTGTTTATGCACGGTTAAAGTTTCTGAAATAAGGCCACAAAACACATACTAAACATGTGTCCACAAGACTTTTGACTAATGGATGTTGTCGCCTAGAGTTTTTGCTTCAAAATGATCTGAAAAGCATCCTGCCTAATCATTCACATAAAACAATAGATTGTTTTAAATTGTGAAAACATTTTTTTTTTTTGGAAAGGCAATATGCGAATGGGCGTGAATGGCCCAACCCCCTCATGAATAATTAGGTGGTTCTCACCTGAGAAGACAAAGACCCGCATAATGAGCCTTTCATTCGGGTGTGTCACTCAAGAAAAAATGCGAGGACAATATAGATACATATATACAGACACACATACACACACATATATAAAATCTAAATATAAATGAAAGTCAAAAGCACGTTTTTAGTCATACCTGGAAACAAATCCTGTTCAAATAGGTTATATTCAAGATATTCAAGATTCAAGATTTCTTTATTGTCATACCACAGTACACTGTAGTACGAAATTACGTGCAAAGTTCACAGCTTGAAAAAATAGCACAGAAACAATCAAAAACAAAATATTAGCTACATAATAAAAATAAATAAAAAATGCTTGTATGGGTATGCGGAGCATGTAGAATGATAAATATAAATATACAACGTCTTAAAACTGGTAAATATAAATATCTAGATATATACAATTGAAGGTATAAATATCCATATCTAAAATAATGCATTTGAGCATAAGGTGCGGTCAGAACAGATAATTATGTACAGGAAGTATTCACATTGATTGGTATGTTTTAGTAGGTTTTTGTGTTTAATAGTCTGACAGCAGTGGGGAAGAAGCTAGTTTTGAACCTTGCAGTCCTTGTTCTCAGACTGCGACAGGGCCGGCCCTGGCCAATTTGCTGCCCTAGGCAAGATTTTACCTGGTGCCCCATGCATTACAGCCCATTTCACTCCATCATTGTGTTGGTGATTATTTAGTCATATATATAGGCTATGGCAAGAGCATTACATCTAGCATTCAAGTCAAGTCCCCTTTATTTTTATATAGCGCTTTTTAGCCTACAATACAGATTATATCAAGGCAGATTTACAGTGATAACAGGAAAATAATGCAACAAAGTTTGCTTCTCCTGTACAACAGATCTAGAAGAAAATAGTGTCATAATCAAGCTTAAGTATGTTCAGTGATGGTTTATTTTGTTGTAAAAAAATATATTAATTTATCTAATTTATATATAGCCGCTCTGGATAAAACAGTGATGTCATCGTCCAAATGTCATTCATGCACAAACTATTTATTGAGCACTATAGCAAAAGTGTTTGTTTGGGAGTTGATGGCAGCAATCTTCCACTAAATTATGGCACGGTGTTTTCAACATGAATGAAACTGCGAAATGTCTTCTTTAATGTGAATTTTACATAAAACATAATAAACCTGTAGCCTATAAATATCGTTAATAATTTTGGCAACAAAAAAAAACAAAAAAATACCATATTGCCCTTAAAACTGCACAACTGTAGGCTATAGTAAAACATTAAATAATAAAAGTGATAGTAAATGCGTCTAAATAAGACTGACATGATTGTTAAATCGCATCGCATTGTCTGGGGGCTCTGAAGAACTCAGAACTACTGTTAGCATAAAGTTATAAGGTAAAAATAACTGCCATTAAATTATAGTATCTTACTACTATGCAATTAGGTAAACTGTTCATTCATTACATCACTTTACCTCTGTCTTTATCCCCTTGTTGTGTCCTCTTCTTTTTGGCACTGTATCTATCGCAGGCTATAATGCTAATTTAAATATGTCATGAAAATTCGGCCATCCGTCACAATGAGATAACTTTCACCGTGTCTCGAGCTGGCGCGAGCTGCCAGGCCCGGGCAGTGCTTGAGTGTGTTAAGCGCCCTCAAACGAAAGCAATGCTGTCTACATTGGATGCGGCGAGGGGCGACGCTACACAACAAATTACCAACAGTAAACTGATCGCGCGCGCGCGAAGATTGATGCGCCGGACCGGAGTCGGGGGACTTAGTTGAGTTTTTGTGGAGTTGGTTTGCTTTATTTTGTAGTATTTCGAATTAATGGTTTTAAAATAGTATTAGTAAAAAAAAATAAAAAAAATAAAAAAAATTGGCGCCCCTATTGAGTGGTGGCGCCCTTAGCATTTGCCTATACCGCCTATGCCACGGGCCGGCCCTGGACTGCGATACCTCCTACCAGAGGGCAGGTGGGAAAACAGTTTGTAGCCAGGATGAGTGGGGTCCTTGATGATGCCCTTTGCTCTTGACAGGCATCTTTTCTGGGCCAGCTCCTGAATGGTCGACAGAGTAGTCCCAATAGTCCGCTCAGCTATCCTCACCACTCTGCTCAGCGCCTTTCTCTCTGAAGCTTTACAGTTCTCAAACCAAAGAGAGATGTTGCTGGTCAGAACACTTTCAATGGTGCCCCAATAGAAAGTGGTCAGGATGGATGGACTAAAGTGGGCCCTCTTCAGCCGCCGCAGGAAGTGCAAACGCTGGTGTGCCTTTTTGATGAGGGAGGAGGTGTGCAGATTCCAGGACAGGTTGTCAGCCATGTGAACCCCCAGGAACTTTGTGTTTTTTACGATCTCCACAGCAGTCCCATTGATGTAGATCGGGGCATACACAGGCTGATTTCTCCTGAAGTCAATCACCATCTCCTTAGTTTTATCGACGTTCAGGACTAAGTTGTTTGTCCTGCACCAGTCTGCAAAGAGTCTCACCTCCTCCCAAATGCTCTCTCATCTCTGTCCTGGATAAGACCCACCACTGTCGTGTCGTCTGCATACTTTATGATGTGATTGGTGCTGGACTTTGCGCAACAGTAATGAGTCATCAGTGTGAAGAGCAGAGGGCTAAGAACACATCCATGCGGGGAGCCAGTGCTCAGTGAGATGATGGTAGATGTATTGTTGCCTACTCGCACAAACTGAGGCCTGTCTGTGAGAAAATCCAGTATCCAGTTACACAGAGGAGAACTTATGCCCAGTGCGTCTGAGCCCAGCTTGTTGACCAGATGCTGGGGGATTATGGTATTGAATGCCGAGCTGAAATCAACAAACAGCATTCGCACAAGAGAGTTCTTGTTCTCCAGATGTTCCAGGCTAAAGTGTAGTGTGGTGGATATGGCATCCCCAGTAGAGCGGTTTGGGCTATAGGCAAACTGAAATGGGTCCAGTGAGAGGGGGAGGGCAGATGAGATATGGTCCTTTACTAGTCTCTCAAAGCACTTCATTATTATGGAAGTGAGTGCTACGGGCCGGTAGTCATTCAGACTATTGATAGTGTGTTTTTTTGGAACAGGAATGATGGCTGAGGTTTTATAGCATGAAGGCACAACAGTTTGACTCAGGGAGATGTTGAATATGTCTGTGAGGACATGAGACAGTTGGACTGCACACTCCCTCAGCAAGGGACCAGATCATGTCTGGACCAGCAGCTTTCCGTGGGTCGATTTTCTTCAGCACCCGCTGGACATCTGCTGGATCCAGTCTGAGCACCTGGTCTCCTTCCTGTGGGGTGGTTATCCTTGCTGGTGTGGTATTCTGTGCTTCAAACCTACCGAAGTAATTGTTAAGGTTGTTAAGGAAATCCATGTTGTCATCACAGGACTGGGGTGCAGTCCTATAGTCCGTGACAGCATGGATTCCCTGCCACAGTTTCCTGGTATCTCTGTGGTCATTGAAGTGACCCTGGATTTTTTGTTCATGTGCCCTCTTTGCCAATCTGATTGCTTTGTTCAGATTGGCTCTTGCAGACCTGAGAGCAGTGACATCCCCAGATTTGAAGGCAGAGTTCCGGGCCTTGAGCAGGCCTCGGACCTCTGTTGTCATCCATGGTTTCTGGTTCGCCCGGACTGTAATGTTTTTTTGTGACACATACATCATCCATGCACTTGAGTATGTATCCTGATACGACATCAGCATACTCCTCGATGTCTGTAGTATGGCTTTTGGTGGCAGCATCTCTGAAGACAGACCAGTCAGTGCATTCAAAGCCGTCCTGCAGAGCTGACATGGCTCCCTCTGGCCAGACTCTCACCTGCTTTGAGGAGGGCTTTGTTCTAACAAGCAGGGGTCTGTATGATGGAGTTAGCATGACAGAAATGTGGTCAGATGAGCCAAGGTGGGGGCGGGGTGATGCTTTGAATGCTCCCTTAATGTTTGTATAAACATGGTCCAGTGTGTTGGTTCCCCTTGTAGCAAAGTCCACATGTTGGTAAAAATGAGGGAGGACTTTTCTCATGTTTGCCTGATTGAAGTCCCCAGCAACTATGAGTACTCCCTCTGGATGTGTAGTTTGCAGCTCGTTTATGGAATAAGACAGAGTTTTTAGGGCTGCTTTAGTATCTGCATCGGGAGGTATGTATATACCAATGATGATTATGGCAGAGAACTCCCTTGGAAGATAGAAGGGGCGACATTTAACTATTAAAAACTCAATGTCCGGGGAGCAATGAGAATGAATCCCATCTGTGTTTGTGCACCATCTGTTGTTGATATAGATGCACACCCCACCGCCTTTAGATTAACCACTGAGCGCTTCACTTCTATCCGCACGGAAAGTAGTTAGCCCCTCCATGCTAATGGCGTTCTCTGTGACTGTGTCATTTAACCAGGTCTCAGTGAAAATCAGAGCACAACAATCGCTCACCTCCTGTTTTGTTGTTAAGTCCAGTCTGATATAGTCCAATTTGTTCTCCAATGAGCGGACGTTAGCCAGCAGGATTGATGGTAAAGGCGTTCTACATGGGTTAGCTCTGAGCTTAGCACTAGCTCCTCCGCGCTTACCCCTCTTCTGCCTCCGCAAACACCGCCTCCGCTTCCTCTGATGGCGGGTAGCGCTGGAGCGAAGAGTCGGTGTTGTGCAGGCCTCTCGCGGAGAGCATAGCAGTCCTAGCAATATGGGCCATTCTATAGAATTGGTTCAAAGTTAGAGTTGGAAACATCTTGAAAAGAAAATTGTCTTTTCCCATAAATCTCTTATAAAGTATTATTTTTTAAAGTAGGCCAATACATTTTATCATACATATTTTAAAGTTAGGGATTCATTATTTTGATATAGCCTAGCTTGCATTGGAACAAACACTATAACAGTTGATTAGTTTATTTTTGACAAAACATACTATATGTTTAACATATGAGCAGAAACTGTCTAACAAAAGCTTATTTGATGTCTATTTTAGAGCAAAAACTTTATAATCTTTCGAAAACTAGTCAACGAAATGTTGTCATTACAGACACTATTCTATATCGCGATTAGAACAAATCTCAGTAGGCTATAGCAATATAGTTTGGATGTGTTTATGTAAAAATAACGTTCACTAATGAAGGAGCGAGAGTGAATGAACGGCACAGATGCGATGTACATCTGTAGTAAACAACATTGCACTGTGCCATTCATTCATTCACACACAGACACGCAATTCATATTTAAACAGTCTTTGTGCAGTTTACAGACACTATTCAATAACGCGATTAGAACAAAGCACTTAAGAATAAATGGCTTACTACATCAGCTGAATCCGTGCTCCTCGAAATGAAACCACCAGCACTTCTGAGGTAACTTTTCCAGGATTATTACGATAGTATTATTCCTCACAGCGCAGCAAGACGAGATACAAGATTCTTATTAAACTGGATGTTTTATCCAGCTGATGCGGGCGTTTTCATGGTTTGCCTCAACATTTGCGTTTGAATAGCGCGCTCTCAGTGGGCGTGGTCACATTAACATGTAATACGCTATAATTAGCTGAAAGGAAAAAGACTGACATCTCTCTCTTTTCATACAGATTACATAAACTGAGAATATTTGTTTTTTTATATAAATTACTTCATTTAAAAGAAGAGAATTTCAGCTTCATAACGATAAATCTTTCGTGCCTGTGTGACAAGTATTTACTTAGTTACAGTTCATTTTCGGACGCGTTTCAGAATGAACTTCACTGACAGAGAGAAGGCAAAATTCGCATCATGTTTATTTTTCTTTATTTGACAAAAATAAGAACACTTTGTTTTTATTGTGAGTATCCACAAAAAAAATAGACACTTAATAGGATCTAATGATGTACAACACTTATATGTAAGATCAAAATCAACAGAGTAATTTGAGTCTCTTTTGCACTGATAAGGAAAAAAGTGAGCTTGTCGCGCCGGCGCGATAGCCGACCCCAGAGGGGTCAATGAAAGATTTCACCCAAAACTTTGAAAGCCTGGATATCTGCTGTCTCTGTCCTGATTTTCTGGATAGATCTCCTGGATGTCACTGAAAATTTCAACGCAATTTTGGCAAATGGATTGATGGGACTACAGCTGGTGGTTCCATGAAAAATATAGGTACATGTGTATAATATAAATGATCTATGATATATTAACATATTATTATATTACATTATATTAATATTGTGATATTAACAAAACATTATGTGCAAATGTTGGTTTCAGTAATGACTCTTTTCTCACACACATTATGGTCTTTGTACAGATTTCACTATCTGATATTTCAAACTTGTTAAGGCATAATTACGATTAATTTCCACATACAAAGTGTGCAAATGATTATTAAACATCCCTGAACATCTGGATTTGATTAATAAAAAGTCCTGTGCACAAGCTTAACTATTTTGTTGTGTTGTAGAGACTTTTTGGAAAAACCCTCAGTTTCGTGTGAGGATTGAGGAGCTTAGTGAGGACTGTACACACGAGGAGGGTGCTGAAAACACACTGGTGTCTCTCATGCAGAACCACGAGAAGAGAAACAGAAGTAGCCAAAAAAACTACATGATTGGTTTCTATGTTTTTAAGGTTAGTATTGACAGATGTAGCTCTGCATGTAGTTAGGGGAGAGTTGTAACACTTATTTTTTTCAACATCTGTAACCTTTTTACATTTTTGTTTTACATTAGGCTACAATTCCCTAAAAAGGTTTTAAATTAAACCATTTTTTTATATAGGAATTTACAATATCTTCTGTGACCTCGGGAGAATGATGGTCATGATCATGATTTTACCCCTGTAGCTACTTATATTTATAGAAACTGAGGGTACGTTTGCACGACAATGATGTACTAAAAATGGAAAAGATCCGTTCACAAGGATCCGCAAAAACGACTAAATATACGCTGAATTATTCATCCATTATTTCATTATAAGAAATATTACATGCCTCTAAACTCAGTTTTCACAAATTTGCATTTTTGTTGTTTACACTGAGACTATAAACATATCGATAATACTTTAAAATAAGGCTCATTAGTTAGCATTAGTTAACATGAACTAATAATGAACTGCACTTCTACAGCATGTATTAATCTTTGTTAATGTTAATTTCAACATTTACTGATACATTATTAAAATCAAAAGTTGTAATAGTTAACATTAGTTAATGCATTATGAGCTAACAATGAACAGCTGTATTTTTATTAACTAATGCTAACAAAGATTAATAAATACACTAACAAATGTATTGCTCATGGTTAGTTCATGTTAGTTAATACATTAACTAATGTTAACTAATGAACCTTATTATAAAGTGTTACCCACATATCGTTTTCATAAACTTGCACTTTGAAACCCGATTTCAAAAGCTTGCATTTTCAGGCCGCCAATACACTGTTGTCTTGTAAATGAACGGCCAAAACACATAAAACATTTTCCTTTTTTAATTGAAAACAGTGTCGTGTTAACGGACCCTAAATGAAACAAAGATTGTGTGTTTAGATGTTTCTTTATCCTTTTCATTTCACTGTTTTGTCAAACTTTTTTGCACTTTTACAGATACAGATACTCACAAATATTTGACTAGGCATATATATATATATATATATATATATATATATATACACTCACCGGCCACTTTATTAGGTACCCCATGCTAGTAACGGGTTGGACCCCCTTTTGCCTTCAGAACTGCCTCAATTCTTCGTGGCATAGATTCAACAAGGTGCTGGAAGCATTCCTCAGGGAGTTTGGTCCATATTGACATGATGGCATCACACAGTTGCCGCAGATTTGTCGGCTGCACATCCATGATGCGAATCTCCCGTTCCACCACATCCCAAAGATGTTCTATTGGGTTGAGATCTGGTGACTGTGGAGGCCATTTTAGTACAGTGAACTCATTGTCATGTTCAAGAAACCAATTTGAAATGATTAGAGCTTTGTGACATGGTGGAAGTAGCCATCAGAGGATGGGTACATGGTGGCCATAAAGGGATGGACATGGTCAGAAACAATGCTCAGGTAGGCCGTGGCATTTAAACGATGCCCAATTGGCACTAAGGGGCCTAAAGTGTGCCAGGAAAACATCCCCCACACCATTACACCACCACCACCAGCCTGCACAGTGGTAACAAGGCATGATGGTTCCATGTTCTCATTCTGTTTACGCCAAATTCTGACTCTAACATCTGAATGTCTCAACAGAAATCGAGACTCATCAGACCAGGCAACATTTTTCCAGTCTTCAACTGTTCAATTTTGGTGAGCTCTTGCAAATTGTAGCCTCTTTTTCCTATTTGTAGTGGAGATGAGTTGTACCCGGTGGAGTCTTCTGCTGTTGTAGCCCATCCGCCTCAAGGTTGTGCGTGTTGTGGCTTCACAAATGCTTTGCTGCATACCTCGGTTGTAACGAGTGGTTATTTCAGTCACTGTTGCCCTTCTATCAGCTCGAACCAGTCTGGCATTCTCCTCTGACCTCTGGCATCAACAAGGCATTTCCGCCCACAGAACTGCCGCTCACTGGATGTTTTTTCTTTTTCGGACCATTCTCTGTAAACCCTAGAGATGGTTGTGCGTGAAAATCCCAGTAGATTAGCAGTTTCTGAAATACTCAGACCAGCCCTTCTGGCACCAACAATCATGCCACGTTCAAAGTCACTCAAATCAACTTTCTTCCCCATACTGATGCTCGGTTTGAACTGCAGGAGATTGTCTTGACCATGTCTACATGCCTAAATGCACTGAGTTGCCGCCATGTGATTGGCTGCTTAGAAATTAAGTGTTAACGAGCAGTTGGACAGGTGTACCTAATAAAGTGGTCGGTGAGTGTATATATATATATATATATATATGTATATATAGTCACGTTTTGGGTTTTTGTTGCTTGTTGCTGGTTTTTGTCTGTCATGTGATCCCCTGTAAGTACAGTATTGATTTATAATTGCGTTTTTCTTTAGATGAGAGGTGAGAGTGGGAGGTTCTCAGCTGAGTTCTTCAAAGACAAAAGACCTATAAAGTCTTTCGACGGTTTGAGAGAGGTGATGGAGTTTTTCTAGCTGGAGCCAGGAGAGTACCTGATTGTACTGTGCACCGAGAATCCTGGTGAATTGGCATGAGACACACTTTGAGTAAGTTGTGGTACAGTCAAAAGACAACCCAGGGCCACCAACACATACACTCAAGTTTCATGTTAAAGGCTTATTTGTGTGAATAACAACTATTAAAAAAATTAATAAAATACAACATTGATGTGCATTACATGATGGTACAAGAGTAGGGGTGTAACCCCGGCATCCTGGCCAAATTTGCCCCTTGGCCTCTGTCCATTATGGCCTCCTAATCATCCCCATATATATATATATATATACACTGATTGGCTTCATCACTCTGTCTCCTCTCCATCAGTAAGCTGGTGTGTGGTGGGCGTTCTGGCGCAATATGGCTGCCGTCGCATCATCCAGGGGGATGCTGGACATTGGTGGTGGTTGAGGAGATTCCCCCTTCCATATGTGAAGCGCTTTGAGGTCCCAGAAAAGCACTATATAAATGTAACAAATTATTATTATTATTATTATTACATTCAATTTTCAATCTTTTTAGGCACACATAAAAATAAAGAAGTATGCAGTAGAAAATGTTTGTATACAAAGTAGGGCTGTCACGATGTTAGATTTTTCACACCACGGTTATTGTGGCCAAAATAATTCACGATATCGATATATCGCGATATCTATAGAAACCTTGGGGTAAAAAATGTCAAATCAGTCAAATTAATTTTTACTTTATTTAATTTTTATTTTTTTGCATTTTTACTTCTTGCGTTCTTATATTTGAATGCACATCTTTGTGAAGTAAGACAAGCATGTGAAGTATATCTGGTTTCAAACTGGAGCGAAACACTGTCTGAATGTTTCCTGAAGAACTGAAAAGCTCTTAAACCTATAGAGGGGTTTCACGACGCGTCATCAATCCGGAAGTCGGCCATTTTGGAGGCACAGAACGTAAATAATGCCATTGAACTGAATGGACTCGCATATTTGGCTGATTATTGCTGCTGAAAAATGGTCGAGTTTTGGTCTGTACCAATCGGTCACATCGGGAAAAAACATGTTGAGTGCTATAGACTGTCAAAAGTTAAAGAGAAGAGTGCAAAAAACTGATGAAAGAAGGCGTTTGTGGTTGAGAGAGGTACAGCATCAGACACATGTAGCTGCTAAATGATGAAGCGTTGACTATGGCTAAAATGTCGACCTAGTTAACTATGGCTACATTCACACTGTCAGTCCAAATCCGATTATCTTTGTATCAAATTGGAATCTGATCTAAAATGATGTCCACACTGTCTATCGCAACTGTTCAGATCCGACGTGTGTGTCCATGCATGTTATTTGGTAATATGGCAATGACTTTGCGTTGATAAGGGGGTTGCATTTGCAATATAATGTTAGATGTTGTCTTTTTTAAATGTTACAAATGGAAATGTGTAGCCGCCGCGCTGGACTACTGCGGCAGAACTGTAGGAGGCTGCATGTACGGCTTTTTTCCCACGCTCGTCTGCGCCGGTTTCAGAAATAATACTTTTCTGCTCGTCCGGCACTTTGCAACAACACAGCATTATTTCGACAGTGACTTTCAGCATGTATCCTATAAATGACGTTTGCATTTTAAGACATACCACGCGAAATCCGATCGTTCAGACTGAGGCTGATGTCCTGATATGTGATTTGAATAGGATTTCAAACCACATATGGATGTAACTTGAAACGGATTTCATGTGCTTTTTTGGACTGACAATCTGAACGTATCCTATGTCGGTATTATAATAAATAGATGGAAGAATTGCAGTAATGTTACGTGCTAGAGAACCTAACTCGTTCGGATCTTTACCACATATTAACTTTAGTTTGTCAAAATGTTGCGCTCTCTCCTGCTTCCCAAGTCCTTCTCTATATGATTTCGCACCTAACATGTGTTTTTTCCGTGGTTTATTAGTGTAACAATGTGTTTAGTAGTACATAAACAGTGCAATCCATGCTGTTGTTTACATCCGAGTGCCTCCATAATGGCCGCGCATCCGGGTTACCGCCCAGAACGTGACGTTGGTGAAACCCCTCTATTGTTGAGCCGGTGCAAGTCATGCAGATTTGAACAGAACAAATCAAGTGCAAATACAAAAATAAGACGAGTAAAGAAAACAGGGTACTTAATAATCACCCTTTATTTAAACATATGAAAACAAAAACCAGCTGTTAACAGGTTAATGTCACATTTCCCATTCCATGACTAGTAAAATAATCGCAATTTACTCTCTGTAAAATAGCGTAATCCGCAGTGTGATGGACACGGAGATGGGTAAAAAGGTTGGTGGCTACACATTCTGCAGATTGGCTTTAAGGGGGTCGCACACCGGACGAGAAGCGCAGCTCCGCGCCGCGTCGCGTGTAGCACACCTGACGCGCACTTTCTCAGTTCATGGCCAGCAATATTGTTATGTTTAAGGACATTATGAAATTAAGATCATGTCTGTAGGCTACAATGTTATGATTGTACTGTACAATTAAATACAATCGTTGCTAAGTCTGCAGTCTGAACACTTTACCTCCGTCAGAGCGCATCCGGTGAAGCAGTCGATTCTGTTCCCTACCGGAATTCCTGTTCCCTTTACGCAATCATACTACAATTCATGCGTAGTTGCCGAGTTACCATACGTACCATCAGAACTGAATACGAGCAAGCATATCTATGACGAGCAAGAAGCACAACTGGATGTACGGGAAGCCAAAAGGTTAAAAAAGTATTGTATTTTATTTCCGAAACTTGTAGCCCTAATTGAGTTTTCCCATCTGTCAATTCAATCCAGATTATTTCTTTTCAAATTTAAAACGTATTACCAATTTCAATGTGATGTTTTATTAAGGCTCTGGTTAATACCATAGACTGTAAAATACAGATAAGCCTCTAGTGCAGGACTATTTGAATCACAATCACTTCACAGGTGCTTTTAATGTCTCATTTTATAAAATAAATAATGCTTGTTTTGAAAGACTGATATTGTTATTTATTGCAAGAAACACATTTATATTCCATTTTTTGAGGAGAGGTAGTAAAGTTGGCCATCTATTGAAATAACTTTATTAGCTTTAGTAAAATAAATCTAAACAACAATTTAGATGCCCCGTTTACAAAGGCCCAATTAAAGAAATAGGCTAATTTAAACTGAAATTGCAGGATAGGTTATTTTTGATGTTCTAGTTCCTGGCAAGTTAATTATAAGAAGGCTATAGTCCATGGACAAGTATGGGCTTTTTGTTTGTATCAAGTCTTGGTGTATCACTATACCTCACTCCTGAGTCCTGTATGTAGAGTTATCTAGAGCTGTCTCCACTGTGTAGAATAATTATCATTTGGAATTACTTGCCATCAATTTGGAAATTGGAGGAACGTCTGAGAATTACATATTATGGTCTTTTTAATGCAAATGGGTATGTGCCTTGAGTTTTTTGAGTTCATGATTTCCCCATACATTTTTGGATCCATTGTTGGAATGTGCCAGCAAGAATAAAAATTCAGGAGACAATGATGTGTGGTCATCTCCCCAATTTAGAACACCATTTATTAATATGGGTAATTTATTCATTTAATTAGTGCCCTCTGAAATTGAATTAATTATGATTAGACTGTTATGTTGCACCCATAGCCTTTATCTTGCATGTCAAAAATAATAATAAAGGTAGTAATAGCAATATATGGTTTTATTCATATTTATTTAATTATTTTATTTCATACAGGGAACAAAATGTGTTTCCCTTCTGACAATAATGTGAGGAACTCTTTTTCTCATACACAAATACATGTGTGTATTTTGGTGACATTGAACTCATTGTTAATATATTTGTATATTGTTTACAAAGTTGTATATCATAAACCTGTCATCTCTGACGTTTTGCAATCTTTATAAATAATAATAAGACAATAATATGAGGCATTGAGTTTGGATGTCAACATGGACACATAAGGCGATTTGTATGGGCACAATTCAACTGAATATATTCAGACATAATACAAAAACTATGAACAAGTGCTAAATTAATTCACAGAAATATGATTGGAGTGCGAGAACCATTTTATTATGCTGCAGTGTATCAAGACATTTAAATGTTGCGCCAATGCTTTTGGCCTTTTTCGCTTTCCGTACATCCAGCTGAGCTTCGTTGCAACTGCTACGCATGCGTTGTCAGGGGGAACAGGAATTCCGGTAGGGAACAGAATCGACTGCTACACCGTTAACTGAATGATTTGAGAATCTCACCTGAAAATCCGAGCCATTGCTGGGCGTCGCGGACAGACGCCGAATGGTGCCGGTGGTGTGTGTAAACTCCTAGAAAATAATGTGTTCGAATTTTAAAGAATTCTCTGCGCTTCTCGTCCGGTGTGCGACCCCCTTTAAAGTGCTGTTTTCTTTGAAGCCGAAGAACTCCCATACCAGAGTGGCTGCGCGGGCGCGCGCTGGCGTCTTCTTCTCATTTGATATGTCAGCGGGTGCAATACTGCCACCTCAACTGGCGCTGGAGTATACGTGTCATGTTATAATAAAAGTCCTATTCATTTTAAACATCGTGGTTATCGCCAAGACCGGTATATTGCCACACTCTAAATTAACACGATGTCGATATTTCAAGCTTTGAATATCACGATTATCGTCAATACCGGTATATTGCGACACCCCTAATACAAAGATAATTTTATGTAATCAGTGATTTGTATCCTTGGGTTTGTCTGTTAGCTTTTGTCATCTAAAGTTATTTTTTCCATCAGATAGCCTACATTGAAGAGACTGAGGAGGATGAAGATGATCCCTGATGAGAGTGAACCTGTCACACAAAATGGCTTCTTGGAGAAATAAGTCAAAGCCTCATTACTTTTTCTTTGTTTATTCATGCTCAGGTCAAAATGGGTATCAAGTTGTTTTTTTTAAAAACTATTTTTCTTTTTTCCTTAAAACAAATAAGTTTGAATGATCTATATGTAATCACTGTTGACAGCACAGAACTAAAGC